GGCCTTCTCACCGAGACCCACCTCAAGACCGGTGACAGCTTCTGGCTGCCCGACCACAGCATTGCCCGGCTTGATCGCACCAGCTCCAGGGGGGGCGGTGTCGCGGTCATCATCAAGAAAGGCATCAAGTACTGCACCCTACCCCACTACCGCACTTCCATCATCGAGGCCGTCGGCGTTGAGGTGGAAACATCGACCGGAAACGTCCGGTTCATCGTTGTCTACTGCCCCCGGCAATGTACCGTTAGCAATGGTACAGCACAGCAGTTCAAGAACGACCTTGCCATCATAACCCACACCAATGCCCGCTTTGTAATCGGAGGGGACCTGAACGCCCGGCACGAGGCCTGGCGGAACTACCAGCAGAACCAGAACGGCCGCCTGCTATTCGACCATTCCCAGCATGGTCTCTATTCCGTCTGGTTTCCGGACGAACCAACCTTCACATCACCGGCGGGCAACCCATCGACGCTGGACCTGTTCTTGGCAAACACCAGATTAGCCAAGCTGGTTGCCGTCAACGACCTGAGTTCGGACCACCAACCGGTGCTGACCGAGCTGGGCTACAACGTGGCCCCTGCACCGTGCCAGCGGAAGGACTACCATCGAGTCAACTGGGTCCAGTTTCGACGCGTGGTCGACCGCCACATCGACGACAACCCACCGCTCGACACAGTGGAGGACATCGACCGGGCCCTGGAGGGTCTCCATCAAGCCATATCCATGGCTGACGAAGAGTGCGTTCGACGAGTTCCTGTGAGGGGTAAGTTTCAAGCAATTGATTCCCACACCAAACTCTTGATTCGGCTCAGAAATGTTCGTAGACGCCAGTTTCAGCGGACTGGGGATCTGCAGCGTAAATACGAAATGGTCGATCTGAATCGGCAGATCGCTTCCAGAATGGTCTCAATCCGGAACGAGAGTTTCGGGCGGCTCGTTCATAACCTGGACGGTGGCAAAAATCATCCCGATCCGCAAACCTGGGAAAGACCCTTCACTACCGTCAAGCTACAGACCGATTAGCCTGCTCTCAGCGCTGAGCAAGCTGTTCGAAAAATTGATCCTCAGCCGACTAAACAAGTTTGTGGAGGAACATGACATTCTTCTTCCGGAACAGTTCGGGTTCCGCAAGGGGCATTCCACCAATCATCAGCTAGTGCGGGTGATGAATAACATCCGAAGTAACAAAGCTGTATCCAAGTCCACAGCCATGGCCTTGTTAGACGTCGAAAAGGCGTTTGACAATGTCTGGCACGACGGACTTATATACAAGCTTTGTAACTCCAACTTTCCACCATACCTTGTGAAAATCACCCGTAACTATCTCCAGCAAAGGTCGTTCAGGGTGTCGTTGAATAGTTCCCTTTCGGGACAATTTCCGATCCCAGCAGGTGTTCCGCAAGGGAGTCTGCTGGGACCACTGCTTTACAGCATCTACACGTCGGACATCCCTCCTCTAGGAGACGGTTGCGTGTTCTTTCTGTTCGCAGATGACACCGCGATAGCCGTCAAGGGTAGGATGCCTCGTGAAATTACGAACAAGCTGCAACGATGCCTTGACACCTTTACTGATTATGCCACCTCGTGGAAAATCAAAATCAACGCCTCGAAAACCCAAGCGATCATGTTCCTTCACAGACAATCACCAAAACTTAAACCGTCTCCCTCCTGTACCGTAATAATGGATGGTACAAGGGTCGAGTGGTCCACTGATGTTACTTACCTCGGGATGTTGTTCGATGAGAAGCTCCTGTTCCGCTCGCACATAGAGAAAACCCTAGTTAAGTGCTCCGCCTTGGTTAGGTGTTTGTATCCGCTCATTTGCCGCAGATCCCGCCTCTCAAGGCAAAACAAACTGGCTGTTTACAAACAGATCATAGCCCCCGCGATCTTCTATGCCGCCCCGGTGTGGGAATCGTGCGCTCAGACCCACAGGAACAAAATCCAGGTTGCACAGAATAGAGTGTTGAGGATGATCCTAGATCGTCCATTCGACACAAGAATAGCAGACCTCCATCAAGAGGCAGAAATTCCCAAAGTAGATTCCAAAATTGATGATATGACAACTAAATTTATTCAAAAATGCAATCTTTCTGAACATGCTTTAATAAGCAATTTGTACATAGTAGGTTAAGTGTATATAGTAGAGTAGGTTAGTTTTAAGCTGTCAATAGTAGTATTAAGTAGTTTCTCTTCAAATTCTAAAAACAAAACAAACCAATCCCACCAAGGTGGTCGACCGTGTACTAAGTCTAGGACTAATTCTGTAAAACAAATTTTGAATTGTGCCCATACCTAAAGATGAAGAAAGCAATTAAATCACTTAGTAAAAATTTATATGGTAATCGTCCAAGTTAAACTAAAATAAAGATCATTTAAACTAACTAAAACTGAAATAAACCGAACTATCTGGTCGGTCTGTTCGCCATCCACGCCAAGCGTGTCACAATTATGCCAAAGGACATTCAGCTGGCTCTTCGTATTTGTGGTGAACGCTTTCAATTTCTCCGTCGAAATGTATCAAAACCGGCCCTTTTCAGAGCAACTAAAAGATTCCACAAGAGAGTTGGAAAGGAAATTTCTGCTGCTTACAACTGATCGCATCACAGTGAATCCTGATCGAAAAATTGCAACCAGCAAGTGCCCTAGAACCAAAAGCGGTGCGATGCTATGACGATGACTGTAAGGGGCTTAGAAGCAGAAGGGTGAAAGCCAATTTTCTTTTTCGATTTCCTCTTTTGTAATGACCATTTCTGCTATGCTTTTCTATCATCCACAACAACAAACGTATCAATGAATGTATTTGCCATTGAGTTAACGTTATCTGACCGTGCACTTCGTAGTTGCTCCTCCGTGAATGATCACAACTAATCCACTTGCACAGAGAACTACATAGATGGTGCATGGGATAAGCTTTCCATCTTCAATGTACAAGCACATTAATTCAATCTATAGATCAATTCACAGCGCCGGCCACGTCCTTACGATCTTTTGGGGAGGGAAGGATGATTAGTTCGACGTCCGGTTGCTACTAGAGACCGATAATACCTCTACATCTCCACGGCTGTCTCGGGAAGGAAAGTTGTGTAAGTTAGGTAGGCTAATTTATAGATTAGGATTCACTGTGGTAAGTGATGCGATCAGTTAAAGCAGAATTTGTTATTGCAAGGAAGGGGACAGGCCTGAGATTGAACTCCCTACCTTCGGCTCAGTAAACATAAACGGTAACCACTGAACTACCAAACCTCGTCGTAATGCTGCAGCGACATGTTTCGTCTAGGAATAATTATCTGATGACTGTGTTGGGGAAGCAGCATATGCATGTACGTAATTGGTGGATTTGTTAGTTAATTCGACGCTTTTCGACAATTCAGTACATTTGCCACTTTTTCAATAGTTTCTTGTTGAAAATCAACATTCGAAAGCAATGTTATCGATGCGTAGCCATATTTCTGAGCGATTGATGATAAAATTATTGAAATTGGTCCAGGGGTAGCTGAGTTATTAACGTTCAAAATCTTTCTTAATTTGTTACATGTTCCATTTTTGGTTTTTACAAAGTGTACCCCCATATAGAAATCATAGAAGTAGTCCTACGTCAAAATTTGTTGTTGAATATCAATTAATTTGAGGACCACCCCAATATTTACAACCACCAACATTTTAGGCCACACAATCTTCACCCATTAACTACTGTCCTGCTAATTTACCATCCTGAACCACTGTGCAAAGGTACATATGGAAAGGTAAATTAATTCAGAAGCCATCTTTTGTAGAAACATTCAATTTGTATAATTCAATTCATTTGAAAAAGACAGGTAAAGCACGGACTGTGCATGGTTGGTCGTTAATTGGATCCAAAACCCTATAGGGTCATAGCACCTCTCCGTTTGTTTTCAATACATATTTGACAAAGGGTAGCACAGGTAAAAATGGATTTCTTCTCTTCAGGGTAGACATATTCATACTTTCGGCAATGTACCGATCATCATATGGGAAGTTATCAACGTTAGTTTCCCTTGATCCTTGATCCCATAAGCAGTGCGTTCTCAATGGCGGTAATCAACACCTACTACACGATGAGCTTTTTTCATAATACAGGTAACAGCAGCTACCGTTAGAGTGATCTTCGCTCCGAATGGACATAAATTCCGCATCTATTCTAAATATCTATTGAGATGTTTCACATCATCAGCTTGTTTTCCCGACGCTATCGTCAGAATCGCAATTATGATACAGAAATGCCGGCGACGACAGTGCTAATCGCTTCAGACGAGCCCATCGCCCATCATCGACGACTACGTCAGCCGTTTTTCCAGTGCAGTGCCGCCGTTGTGAGAACTATTTCCAGGTGTTGGTATTTTGCATCCAATTATATGATTGCTGTCAGTGTGCGGTTCACTCGAGAGGGTGTAATCTCCTAGGGATTCCCCACGTAAATGGGGGCAGCTGTAGCTGTCGATTGGGAATTTCACAATTCTCCTCCAAGATCACGTAATTCGGAAATAACTTTCTATTTTGGAATTCCTATCAATTTTTACACCACCGATTAATAGCGTGACGTTGCCATCTGAGTAACGCCTACAATGCAGTGACGAAATCAAACGATAATCTTTTTTGCTTTATTAGAAAACAGCTGTAGGTACTACTACAGGAGCGGTAATAATACTAGCAATAACAACACGTTCGCGTGAAGCCACATATGACGTGTACAGCTCGCTCTCAATCACGCAATCCGCGAGGGCTATAATTCTGATTGCCTATCGGCAGCGCCTGGTAGTGCTCTGCCGTCGTCGAGCGGAGACGAAACGTGAATCAGTATTAGCTTCGCGCGCGTTCCCTTGTAATTGATTGTGATTTTTTATTCTAATTTTTTTTTAACTGTACAAAGTAGTGCTTAAGGTGTGTTGAATTGACCTTGACGTTGAGCATGGTCCGTGATCTTAGTGAGGACGAAAACCAACTGACCGTGAATGTTTCTTTCTTGCCGTTCTTTGCAGTCATGTCCTTGGAGGAATCCCGCCGAACACAGCGCCCCTATCGGTATGGAATGATCCTGCTGTGCGTGGGCGCACTAGTCAACTGGTTGGGACTGGCCCAGGACTACACAGAACCCATCCGGTACACCGGAGTGGCGTGCATTTTGGGTAAGAGTGATGATAAAAGGGGTTTGGGCGATCAGGAAGTTAATGAGGATTTTTTTTTCTGTTCTGGACATCATTTTACAGCAGGAGCATGTCTCATCTGCACGGCCATGTGCTGCTGGCTGCATACACCGAACAGAGCCGGATCATCAACTGAGGTGAGCATAAATGGGGACTCGGGTAAGGGAAGACAAAGGAAAGTGAATAGTGAGTGAGTGATGATGATGATGATGATCGTTCGAAAATTCGAGAGATGATGTCACACTTGTGGTGAAAAAATAAGCAAATGAAAATGTTGAAGTGATGTTTGGAATATTTCGGAAGAAGTGGATTTAAGTGGAACTAAGCGGAATTAAGTGGAATTAAGTGGAAAACTGAATTTAACAGCTAGCCCTTGAATACTACGGATGTTAGTTCAATTGCTATGAATGCGATTTTTTTTTCGGAACCAAATTTGTAATGTTTCTTATATAGTGAGAATATTTAAGGTGAAAGTTCATGGAATCCATCCACTCCGCGTTTTCACAGTCACTGATCTCGCCATCCAGTAGTCATACAGATCTAAAAATTAAATGAGATGCTTGCTTCTCTATAGCAGACATTGTGCCAGATGTGTGTCAGTGTAAATGCAAAGTGGTAAAACAAATTGTATGGAAAATGGATACCGTCAATAGAAAGCGAAAAGTAAGAAGTTGTATCCTAGACACGACCGTAGATTTGACGTAGAATTACGAAGGTAGTTTTGATGTCACAGCAAAAGTATAGTAAATATTAAATTGATTTCTTAACTCGTTGTCAGTGAAAAAGTTCGATAGGTTGAAATTTGGAAGCAATTTGAGAGTTCTGTTTTTGAGGTGCTTACTTGAAGTCTTAAGTCAACTTTTTGTTATCGATCATTTGTGGTCCTGAAATGAACCGATGGGTTGGAAGCTTGGAAGCCAGCTTAGAACGATGCTGTGCAATTTTTTCCACGATTTTCTTGGAGATGATAGCGGTGCGGAAATAAAATATGCACTAGGGAAAACACATCAATCACAGAAACTGAGCATACCGCACGGTCCTTACGTTTATGCTAGTTGATGCAATTTTGTAGCCCCTTTTATTAAGAGATTTCTGTTTTGGCATAATTTTCTTAAAGTTTGCATAAAAAGACATAAAGATAGGTACTGTCTGACATGCTCACTGCTCGGTATCAATATCGGGCGACTGTGTTAGGCAAACCCCTTTCTCCCATCACGGAAACGCCTCGTTTTCTGTTGAAAAAATTACGCATTGCCGTGCACGAATTTTTTGGTTTATTGATAAATAATAAAAAAAGCGAAAATTTATTGGAGGTATTTCTTGCTAAATTTTCTGCAATCGCGAGACATTCGCGATGAATCATATAAATTCGAGATTTGTGTGCTTTATCTAGCGTGCTGGAGAAAACTTTACCTTAATTCGAAGTGTTTCTGGTTAATTGGCAAGGTCATGTAGTATTCGGTCATTGCGAGAATTTGTATACACCACTTATACTTGCCGCATTTGACCAAAAACGAACAACTGAAATCCAATCAGTAGCAGTGCAACTTCCTCCTCCTTCTAAGACGAATGGTCCGCTTAGTGGGATGCAGCTCGTACTGGAGAACAATCTACAACGTCACGCGCCGAAAGCACTGCGGCTACTGCTGATGATGACCACTGGACACCACCACTCACCACACGCGGTGATTGAACAAATACCGCTCGGTGAGACCGGAGTGAATTCGGTTTTTAAATCTGTGTTAGGGACAGCACTTCTCGCAGTTGATCGGTGATAATGTTCATTATTATAGCAGCAGTTGCACATTCGTGCAATTTTCAAAAGTGACCTTTTAAAATTGATAAAGCGTTCAGTATAGCTGATTCGTAGATGGCATGCCAATCGATTGGCTTACTTGGAATTTGTGTGTTATGTGTGGCCAACACCTGACCACTTTTCGTAAGGCGGTCGATGTTGGTTTTTTGATATTGCACCCCCAATATGTTGCCGAAAGACGTAATCCTACGTCGAAAGAAATTTAGATTAATTCATCCAAAGTCAGAGACCGGAAGTCTAGCTCAGAAAATCTTTGCTTTATTCAAGTTGCTTTTTGTTGAGTTGAGAACCGCTTATATTTTCATCGGTCATTTTTCAAGATTTGTCGTCTCCCATCCGGATTTAAAAAAAAATCATGTTTCCTAAATTGCTGGTAATGGCCTTTTTATCACCTAGTCATAATAGTACGTCAGATATGATTTATACTATGAATACTTCATCATTTCTTAATAGTGATGTTGAATATGCAGGCCGATTCTGAAGCAAAGCTACTCGCGAATTATGATATGACCATTTAAAATCAACTACTCCCGAAGTGCGATAAAATGATGACGAATTGAAAACGAAAAACAACCGCGTATTTTGGCTGATCAAAGTGGGCACCCATGGAGAATAGAGTATTTCAAATTTTTGCACGGTAAGGCAGGACTTAGATCTACTAAGCACGCTCTATTTTTAGAGTGGATTTATTTCACAAAATGGAATGTTTTCACAGCAGATGACTTCTAAACTTATTTACCTTTTCGTGCGATCCGTAAGATTTGATAAAAAGATATAAACTGTTGAGATATTGTTAAAAATCTAACACCGCTTCTTAACCTAAAACTCAACCTATGGCCTAATGCATTGATACGTCATTCAAACGCCATTGAATTCATTTCGGCCTATCGGATGAAGATAAACATTGATTCGAGCGCTTCTCAGAGTTGCGACCTATCACAATCACGATCGTCAAACAGCTGATGGTGGTAACGCTTTGTACATTCCTATCAATGTGCTCGTCGAAGCTCTCTCCGTGACCATCCATCAAGTTGACGAAAGAAGTAAAAAGCAACTGGTGAATGTCGTCTTCGCTTGTGATCCATCACCGATCTGGTAATTCCCGACAATCACGACACTCATCTGTACTCGTTTTGAAGCAGTTGCTGCTTTGCTTGCATATGTGAGTGTGTTGATGAGTGAGCCCAACAGCTTCCGTTTAATGATGCCTGCTTTGTTTGTAACTCACACAGTACCGCCTGCCGAGACGAACTTGGAATGCGTAGGCATTGTTTTCATTTTCTTCTGTCGTTTTGCTTTTTCTCATGATCGTACAGCAGAAGCCTTCACTGTTTTCGTTGTGCTTTTCATCATCAGCAGCGAGTGTAGCGTTTTGCTTGTGCGCAGCGTCCATTACTGATGATTGTTGTTTGTCATGGTTCTAACTGTCACTGCGTGACAAAACGATCTGTCAGCGATAGTCGGTTGATGCGAAGACGAGTGTCACGTGAGTGTCATGATATTTTGCATCACTGGGCCGTTTCTTTTATGTTTGACTTCGTTCCGTAACTTTTGCACTAAAGTATAGTATCAAACAAATAAAAGCCTTGTTACTCTGAAACAATGGATTTAATTGATGTTTTCTGCTCGATCGGCACAAAATGGGCGATTAGGCAGAAGTAGTGCACTACTGGACACCCGTGGAAAATTTAGAAATCATCATCACTTTGATAGTTCTTCCACGGGAACCAACTTTGCTTTGCCAATACCTGCCAAGAGAGATCTGCACACTGAACAAAATCATCCGCAATGCTTCGAACGAATATTACTTTGCTCGAGCTCAGAGATTGAAATTTTCGCTCAGCTGCAAGATAAGCTAAGCATCACTCAAGGTGCTTTTCGCAGAATCGAGCATCGACAATTTTTTCATCTCTCATTGTTCAACGACTATTCATTATCCTCTCCCATCCAAACCGTGAAAATATTGCTCTCTCAAAATCGGTGAGAACACGTTTTCATCTCTCATTGGACACCGAAAATATTCGCTCGTGCGTTGCTAGAGTCCGAGCAGGAGTGTCGAAAACAAGCGTTTGAGCCTTTGACAGAAGGAATGCTCATCGTGACTCGATAACAAGAAACACAATGAGTTAGGTACGTTTAGACTATCTGATTTGTTGGTCTGATTCGAGCGAACTGCTCGATAATTTTGTCGGATGCAATGTTTGGATGCGTTCACACTTTTTGTACAGGATTATTTGATATGTCGAACGAAATAGGTTTGCGTTTAATTTTCATTCGACTCATCTAGCAAAATAGCCGCAAGTTAGGTGAAAATTTTTAATTTTCTTCTTCTAAGATTTCACGGCTTTGCTAAAGAACGCTTGATTTGTGTTTTGATGGCATCCAGCAGCAACCCTAATAAAATATGTATGGTTATTTTGCTCAACGACGTGACCAGGGTATCATCCAAACCATTTGTGGAATAGTTCAATCATATGGGTTCGGGTATGGTATTTTTATTGGGGAAGGAAAACCGATTTCACTATTACATAATGTCCTGTGTATGGTTTGACAGATGTTTATTTTCCAGCGTGATTGGCAGAAAGATGCCGTATTGCCTTTCATCATGGAATTATCAACAAAACAGTGTTTATATAATACGCAGCATGAATTTTATAAGAATAAGCATGCCAAACATCAGGTCTGAGAGCCTACTAAGAGAGAGCTTCAGAGAGTTTTGGTAATCTACTGAGAAATTTGTTGAGCTTCACCGTAGTACGTAGATCTTAAGAACAGAACTACAAAAAAATTAAAAGAAATTTACAGAAATTCATAAAAAAAAAATCACAAGAAAGATCGTAGATCTTCAGATAAATGTTCAAAGAAGATTTCAAAACTTCAAGCCAGCTAAAATATTTTCAGATCAATTTGTAAAACTATATGCAAAATTTTGCAAATCTTCAGGGTAATTCGCATAACTTCAGGCAAGTCCGAGGGAGGCGACACCATCTAAAATGCAGGAATTTTTTTGCTTAGCTGTTGTGAGATGCACTCGCGTCTAGTAGATAGAAACACGATTGGTTGTAATTTTGAAGATTTCCTGCAAGGTGGAGAACGAAGCTAGTAGATGGGTTGAGATGCAAGAGATGAAAAAAAAAATTTCGTAGATTGACTCTCTAGTGTGAGATTTTCGAGATTTAGATGTGTCGCACCCCTCGGACAAGTCCAAGAATCAACAGTGAAATGTAAAGTATTTCACAGATGTTTGGAAATCTACTGAAAAATTATTCAACATCAGAAAAATTCGTAGATCTTCAGAACAAAGCTACAGAATTTTGAAAA